CTGGGCACTTCTACTTAATAGAGTATTGGAAGTACTAGCCACAGTAATCAGACAAGAAAAAGAAATAAAAGGTATCCAAATTGGAAGAGAAGTAAAACTGTCACTATTTGCAGATGACATGGTACTTTATATGAAAACCATAAAGTCTCCACCCAAAAGCCATTAGTACAAATAAATGAGTTCAGCAAGGTAGAAGGATACAAGATTAGTACACAGAAATCTGTTACTCTTTCATGCACTAATAATGAACTATCAGCAATTGAAAGTAAAAAACCAATCCCTTTTAAAATCACATCAAAAAGAAAAAAGTACATAGAAATAAACTTAAACAAGGAGGTGGAAGACCTATACTCTGAAAACTATAAAACACTGATAAAGGAAATTGAAGCTGATACAAAGAAATGGAAACATATTACATGTTCACGGATTAATGGCCATACTACCCAAAGCAAACTATAGATTTAATGTAATCCTTATCAAAATACCTTTGACATTTTTCATAGAACTAGAACAAATAATCCTAAAATTCACATGGAACCACAAAAGACCCCAAATTGCCAAAGCAACCTTGAGAAAAAAGAACAAAGCTTGAGGTACCATCCTCCCAGACTTCAAACTATATTACAAAGCTACAATAATCAAAATAACTTGGTACTGGCACAGGAACAGGCACATAGATCAATGGAACAGAATAGAGAGCCCCAGACATAAGCCCATGCACCTGTGGTCAATTCATCTATGACAAAGGAGGTAAGAATATACAATAGAGAAAAGATAGCGTCTTCAGTAAGTGATGCTGGGAACACCAAACAGCTACATGTAAAAGAATGAGATTACCATATTTTCTCACATGATATACAAAAATACATCAAAATAGATTAAACACCTAACTGTTAAGACCTGAAACCATGAAACTCCTAGAAGAGAACATAGGCATAATATTCTCGGACATAAATCCTAGCAATAATTTTTTTGAATCTGTCTCCTAAGGCAAAAGAAATAAAAGCAAAAATAAACAAATAGGACCCCATTAAACTTAAAAGCTTTTGCTAAACAAAGGAAACCATCAAGAAAACAAAAAGACAACCTACAGAATGGGAAAAAATTTTGCAAATGATATGACCAAAAAGGGGTCAATATCCAAAATATATAAACAGCTCCTACAATTCAATATCAAAAAAAAAACACAATAAAAAAATGAGCAGATCTGAATGGACATATTTTTCAAAGAAGACATACAGATGGCAAACAGGCACATGAAAAAGATGCTCAACATCACTAATTATCAGAGAAGTGCAAATCAAAACAAAAGGGGATTTCACCTCACACCTGTCAGAATGGCTATCTCATCAAAAAGTCTACAAATAACATATGTTGGAAAGGATGTGGAGAAAAAGGAATCCTTGTACACTGCTGGTGGGAATGTAAACTGGTATGGCCACTATGGAAAACAGTTTGGAGTTTTCTCAAAAAACTTAAAAACAGAATTACCAAATGACCCAGCAATTCCACTCCTGGGTATATACCCATAAAAAAATAAAAACATTAATTCAAAAAGAAACATGTACCGCAATGTTCATAACAACACTATGTACAATAGCTAAAATATGGAAACAACTCAAGTGACCATCAACAGATGAATAAGAAATGTTTATATATCAGAATTGAATATTACTCAGCCATAAAAAAGAATAAAATTCTGCCATTTGCAGCAATGTGAATGGACCTAAAGAATATTATGCTTAGTGAAATGTCAGACAGAGAAAAACAAATACTATATGATATCACTTATATGTAGAATCTTAAAAATAATAAAAACAAATGAATACAGCAAAACAGAAAGACTCACAGATACAGAGAACAAAGTAGTGGTTACCAGAGGGAAGAGGGAAATGGGGAGGGACAAATTAGGGGTATGGGAATAACAGATACAAATTACTATGTACAAAATAGATAAGCAACAAAGATATATTGTACAGCACAGGGAATTATAGCCATTATCTTGTAATAACTTCTAATGGAGTATAATTTGTAAAAATACTGAATCACTATACTATACACTTGAAGCCAATATAATATTATAAATCAACTATACTTCAAAAAAGTGAGTGATTTCACACTAGAAGGTTTTAATACCTCTGAAGAAAATTCTTATTTTCAATACCACAACTGAAACTGGTCCTCAATGTCATTAGGTTTGGTCTCTTTTTGAAGTTTTATCAACTCTGCCTTTTTGAAGCAGAATTTTAATACTTGTAACAGACCTCAGTTCATCAAGGAAAAGAAAACTACATATCAATAATGTTTGCAACTGGAAAAGAAAATGATAAATGATTCTTCTCCTTCCTGTATGCTTATAGAAATCTACTCTGAATCACATTCACATGTATCTGTTTCCTGAGAAAGGGAGGGAATATAATGTAACCAGCTGACCACACTGCAAGTCTTCATTACGGTTACATCTTTAAAGGGCTTTTGCCAAGAAAACTGGCTTAGTATTTGGTTTTCGTATTCACTTTTTGCACAAAGTACATAATGTACAATTTAGTATTTTAGAATAAGTTAATTATCAAGTTATTTTAATAATTAGAAATGCTAAGTGTTAGTAAAAGGAAAGCTCCAGCTTCAGATATGCTAATCATGCACTCAAAATGATAATGTAGGACCCATTCCTTAAGGTTTATTATCTAATAAACAGAAAATAAAATACGGTTCACATATTCACATCAATACCATCTTAATTGTCCATACTCACAGGGTTGTTATAATCTATACTAGGCTTATTTGGTGCCATCAGAGGCAGGTTTTCTGAAGTTATAGGTAAGCCACCATAGCTTCTTTCCATTAAGTCACATTGAGTTCTAGTTCATTCCATTTTATCATATTCTACTCAGTGACAGATATACATCAGTGTGATTCCTACTAATATGGAGGTAAAGTTATACCTTAGCAAAATGCTGTTCTAAACCCCCACATGCACTGACTCCATGGGAGTGAGACCCCATATAAAATAAATCATCACACTCAATTAGTAAGTTCGATTACAGTAGACAAAGAGGAGATGCAGATACTTTCTAATAAAAACTTCTTGCCCTAAAAGAAAGAAAATTCATTGCAATTTTAGAGTAGAATGTTATCATAGTTTATTTATTAAATGAAGATCCTTGGTGGGAGATGGCAGACCACATCCATTTAATAGAATCTCATGCTGTAAGTGAACTCTGCTCCTGGGTTAAAACTGTATAACTTGTGGAATTTCTTTTTTTTTAATTCCAAATCTTTATATAGAAAGTGAGGCTTGCATAATTCTTAAGTGATACCACCTGTTTTCATTCATAATGTAAGGAATAAATGTGAACCATATTTTCAGTGTATTATTCTAAAACTGGATAATTTAAATTCCTTTAGTTATTAAATAGGCACCAGATTTAAGGCAGCACTTTGCATGTCACAGAAGATGTAACAATGAATCAGAAGAAGATAGGATCTCTTTCCTCAAAAAGATTGCACAGTTCTAAGTAGGAGATGTGTTTGTGTGTGTGCGCGCACGCGCACACGTCTGCACACATATAACAATGTCAAGGCAGTGTGTGTAGAATGATCCGATGGAGGGGCCAATACTCTTGGATATTCAGAAAAGAAGTAAAACTTTTAAAAGAGAGGACCATGGAAGGTTACACTCAGAGAGTATGGGGCTGGAATTCCACTATGATTGAAGGAGTACCTGAACATTCCTGAGAAGAAAAGGGCCTGAGCTACAGCAGAGGCGTAGGAAAACACTGAAAATCCTAAGCCCAGATTAGCTATAATTTGAATAACATTTAGGGTACTAGATAGGGACTGACTAGAAAGAGAATTCCAGGTCAGACTGTGGAGGCCTTGAATGGCAAGTGAAAGAATTCAGATTTCATTCCCTAGGCAGTGGAGAGCTGTAGAGCTTTCTGAGCCAAGGTGATCAAAGCTGTACTTTGGAAGAATTAGTTTAGGTGGTTGTCAATGACAGGAGGGGAGGAGGGACCACAGGCAGGGAAGCCTGATCAGCTTATCACATTGGTCTAGGTGAGGGGGTCGGAAGAAGGAGGGATGGGCATGGGAAAGACAGCAGGAGGAGAACAAACACTATTTGAAGATTGGAAGTCGGAAACAGGGGAGAGGGAAGATTCAATGATGACTCAGCTTTTAAGCCTGGGTGATTGAGGAAACAGAAGTCAAGAGGAAAATCTGATTTGAGAGGCAAGGATGAGGAAATCATATGGAGGCCATATCCAGATGGAGATATCTAGTAAGCAGTTAGAAACACAGGACTGAGGAGTTAGTTCAGAATTAGTAAATTATAGATTTAATAGGTAATGGATAGACAGATTTAATGGGCAGTATCTTTTAGAGTAATCCTCATGACAGAAAAAGTTGAAGGTATTTAAATAGACTCATCAAATACAACACATAGTGTTAGACTTCTAACATAGATAAATAATTGAATATTTGGTTATGCCAAAAACTGCCCATAGTATTTGTATCCTGCACCATTGAACCATTGCAAGATGCACCATTGATCAAAAAAAAAAAACTGACAACATACAAGCTGGGATGGGAAGTTAGCATACAGATATTAATACAACCACGAAGATTTATGGCATTTCAAAAATTCATTTCTTGGAACAAATTTTCATCACTGAAATTTGGAAGCTGAAATACTAAGCAAATCTATTCAATTTGCATCCTCTCAAACTAATTTTTCTTTTCCTCTGAAACTGACATTGTCTTCTGAGTAACTATCAAAAATATGTATTAGTCACCATTATGAATAATGTATTTCTTAAGAATAACTCAACCTTGATCTCATATGAACATTAATAAATGTTATGTTAGCATGTTCTTAGTTGACTCCATCTGCGACTTTCAAACATACCTCCTTATCCTCTCTACCTTACACTGTAAGACCTTTTATTGAGATGCTTAGTAAGAATTATTTACCAAAACACACATTCTCCAAGCCTTACCTGGTTTTGGTTTCTCTGGAGAGCTAAGTTTCAGATATTGGTCTTTGGAAGAAAGGCTCACATCGATGCCATACAGTAGATCATCCAAGAAAGAGGGTCTTTTCAGTCTTCCAATGCCAAGAGTCTTCGACATAAAATAGTCTGTTGTGTCACTAATAACCTTGTCCTCAGAAAACTGGAGGCATCTCATATTCTCTGCTTCAATGACAAGAGCTTGTGACATATAATGCCCTGTCAAGGCTTTGGTGAGATAGTAGCCTCTAGATGTTTCACATTCTGCATTCTCAGGCATATTTACATCTTCCACCTCAGTGCTTTTGATCTTTGTTTTTGACCCATTTTGTGACTCAGAGAGAACGGATCTGAAAAGCTGGGGAAACTCAGGTGTGATATCCGCAATGTCTTTCTTTTCTCCTTCTGAAGACAGTCTAATTATGGATTTTTGTTTGAATGTGCATTCATCCAGAAGATGCCTTAACTGTTCCTCAGAGAGAAGTGATGTTGAATCTAACTGACGAAACAAACCAAAAGTTTTCAGTCAACTGACTGAGTAAACACATTTATTTTTTGTTAAGCTTCCAGTAATACAATATAAATGCAAGTGCCAGGAAACCCTTTAAACAAAACATCCAAATCGCAAAATCATTCATTTTAAAGTATCCAGAAGTGCAGGGGAAATGTACAGCATGCCCAGAGAGTAAGTTTAGACTCAGTCACACATACTAAAATCCAGGGGATGGTCCCACAACACTGGTGCTAATGAATTAGTACACCAAATTAACCATGAACACTCTCTCTACACATAGAAGTACCTTGAGCTGAAATGGAGATATTAGAAGAGGATCTTCAATTTTGTAAATCTTGGGACATCAAGTAGGATAGTAAGTAACCACCTCCTGGAAAGGTAGCCAGGAATCCTGCCATAATCTTCAGTAGGTGTTTCTCTGTTCCCACCACTACTCAGTGTGAATCCTATCACCACCCAATTCCTTAACACAGGCAAATGGGGCAGATTCTACCCCTGGGGATTCACCACTCCTATGTCTGTCTACAACTTTCAGCAGACAATACTACTGAAGACAGAAAAGGAAGGGTGAAGGGGTAGTGCATCCTGAGATGCACAGTTGCTTCAATGCTACAGGTCTAGACAGAGGCCAGGGGCATTCCAACAGCAGTGCATTCTGGGAGGAGGATTAGATCACGCACATTTAATCTCTGCTTGTAAAGGTTATCTGGGCTGATTGTTTCAACCAAGATCTTAAGGATTTTAAAACTTTTTTTCTTATTCAGTGATGTTCTCAGGAAATAAATCAAACAAAAGTATAGAATCATGTTCTATGAGAATTCAGCTGAACAGCATGCCACTTGAATTGCAACAATGTCAAAAAGGAACGTGATTAAAATTATTGAAAAACACCGAAAAAAAAGTCTCCCTTTATAGAATCAGTACTGTCTGTGATTTACATAGTAGATTATGTAGGAAAACACTAACCTCCTTTACAGGAAAATGAATTTTCAGATAACAAGAAGCCCTCATAAGAAAAACTAATCATGAAGTAATGGCCTTAGGTTCTACTTCAGTAAGGTAAAACAATGCTATTTGCCTATTTGGTAGTACGCAGTAAGAATTAACCAAATATTCTGCATATATAAAGTACTGGCGGGGAGACCTATTATTAGGACTAGTATAGCTAATTCCCCATTATTGTGTAATGCTTCTAATGCAGATAACAACAACAACAAAAATAGTATGTGAAGCAAATTTTGTATCATGATTTTAAAAAAATCATATGTTTTTATATTATATTTAACTTCCATATAGTAAAAAATTAGTTTTCATAGTGGCAAGTACCATTATGAGTTTGAGAGTAACAAGAAATTGTCTGGAAATACATCCTTAATAGTTATCTGGGATTCAAAGTTCAGGTAAGTCACCCCACGATTAACATACCTATCAAAAAGTAGGGGTTGAATTTTATATTAGCAAATCCTACTTTTAATCACTAGATATTTCAGGCATCCAGATGTAGTACTTTATCAATTAATTAGGAACATTCTCTTCACTCTACTATGTAAACCTCATCATCCAGAAAATGAAGGCAGTCATTGTATGGCACTAGATAACTAAAATACACTTTCAAAATCTGCTTATATAAAATGGCTTATAATGAGTAAATAATTCCCTAGGATTTAGAAAGAGTCCACTGAGTGTCATCCTCAGCAAACACCCAAACCAAAGGCTTAACATATAAAATTTCCAGATCCTAGAAAAAAAAAATCAGTCCATATAGAACAGGAGGGTGAGGGATTATGGAAGGAGGTCGGGGGGGGTTGCGGGGGAGGTGGGAATAAAAGAGGTGGAACATTGGTAGATTATCTGATATGTTTGATCACTTCCCCAAATAATATTGATAGGACAGACGCTTGGAAATCCTGATGATGTACTTAGCTAGATACATAGAAAATTAAGTAAAAGTGAAAAATAAAGTAATTGTAAACACTGGGAAAAACAAAAACCTATACAAGAAGAAAGGAAAGGTAGTTTTTCAGTTGGATATAAAAATTAAGCAAAAGAAAATAAGATAATTGTTAACTGTAGGACAAACAAAAGGACCAGAAAGGACTATAAGATACTACTTTCTTTTGCTGTAAATAATGTTTACACAGTCATCTTAATATAGTGATGACTGACTTAACCAAACATTGTGATTACCTATTTTAGAGAAACGGTAGGAGAGAGAAGGGGTGTTTGGAGTGGTAAAGTTAAATCCTTGGCTACCATTACAGGAAGTCAATATGTAATTGATATACTACTACAGTAGTATTGTATTATTGATATGAAACTTAAGGTCATTATAAATTGATATAAAACTGTTCAGTTTGGAGGGCAAGCTGTTAAGAAACAATGTAGAGGTAAACAGCAGGGGAAAACGTCTAAAGAAGTTAAAAGTGATTGACTCCAGAGAGCAAAACTAAGAAGTGGGGAAGAATGGGGCAAGAAGCTGCCATTTTTGTTTAAAACCTTTTCACATAATTTTTTCTTTAACTATATTATTACCATAATAAAAATTAAAATTAACTTAAAATACAAAAATTAAAGTTATTTGAATACATTCAAAATTTTAAAATAAAAATTAATTTAAAACTAAAAATTTGAAATATTAAAATGAAATTCCCACTGGTTATGTCTTCAGACATCAGAAGCAGATCCAAGTTTTATATAATCTTAAAGTAGGGAGAGGGTACTTCTTTAAGAAAAAGAATACAAAATTGCAAATAGAAAATCAGTACAAAAATGACTTACTTTATCTTTCAAATATGAAAAGGATCACAACAAATTATTGGAGGCTTGGAAAGTCAAGTCCATCTCTTACATTATCTCTTTAGGTCATTCACCAGAAATGCTTATATAGAAATGTTTCCTGATTGCAACGCAGCTTCCTCTCCCCACTTGAGGTTCATACAGGCGAGGGGCCCTGGAGCTTAAGCTGCACTGGCTTCAGAGTATATCTGCTTCTAAGTGCTCCAAGTTAAAGCATAACACATTTGAGTCTGTGTGTACACAGAAATAAGCTCAACTACAATCACCCTGATCCTCTGGGGGAAGCAGCCTTATGGGAAAGAAACACAAAAGACCAGAACTTGGGCTTCTGTCCAAGCTTTGCTACCTTGTGCATGTCACCTAAGGGATCCACTTCCTGCAGCTGTGAAACACAGAATTGAAGAAGATGATCTCTACATTAACTATGAGCTCTAACATTGCTTTTTATGAATAACTACTCTAAAATTAAAAAGAAATGTAAGAATAAGCTGTTCTATTGAACTTAGGGAGTCACCCAGGCAGAATTTATGAAAACAAAACAATAACAAAAAAACTTTTTATTTCTTTAATTTCTTCACAATACCAATCCTGAACTCAAAAAATAACTAAAGATTCTCTGGTCTCAAAATATTATAAGTAAAAGTGAACCAAGTAGATTAAATTGCTCAAGTTAATTTCATTACAGTGTTTCTGGGTAGTAATACATCAGCACCTTCAACATGAGCCATCTTTCCCATCTTTGACTCTGCAGAGCCTTGCCCACAGTACAAATTCAGTAAATCACTGTGGTGGGAATCAAATAAATTAAGGTTGCTGAGTGTTCTGAAATGGCCGAGTACTACATTGATATACATTATTTACAAATGCCGAACTGGACTAAACTAGAGCTTATCACAAACATTTCTAATGACCCTTGACAGTTCAGGGGACTGTACCCACACCTTTCCTTCAGATTGCTTTGAAACTCCTGAACTAACTCAGCAGCTGAACTCATAACTGAACGATTCACTGTGCCAGCATCATCAAGTAACCATCTGTTCAAGTCTTCACCTCAAACTATTCATCTTTCATGCCAGTTCTAATTTTCCAGTATTTCATAAACAAGTTATTATTCATGCTATTCCTGTCCATCATAAAATGCATCATAGTCCATCTCAGTCCTCATTTTTCCAGACCAGAGCCCAATCTATTTTCTCTCCTTCTATGAAAGCCCCTCTTTTCCCATCCTCATTTTAGTAGCCTTTTTATGAATCTTCTTTCTCATTTTAGCCAAAACACACACACTCCATAGTCAAAGAGTAAACGTATTGGATTCTCTCATCAGGAAAAAAGTAGAGAACACTTGTGGTGCTAGTTCTCGTGCAACTTGCTGGTTGGGTTGGCACTCCCAATGAGGTCTTAAGGAATAGTAATAACTAGCATTTACTCAGCACCTACTTGGGCCAGACACTGCTCAAATGCATCTTACATGTATCAATTCCTTTAATCTTCATAACAAACCAATGCAGCAGATACTGTCGTTATTCTCATTTTATGGATGAAGAACTGAGGCAACAAGAAATTAAGTAACCTGTCCTCGGTCATCCAGCTAGTAGGTGGTGGGATTTGAATCCAGGCAGTCTGAGGTCCAGAGCCTCTGAGCCTAACCATAGCCTCTCACTGTAAATGAGTCCTCCCTCTACCATTCTCTAAGTATCCTTTTCCCAACTGATACTCATTTTTCTGTCCATTCCGTCAAATATAAAAACTCTTCCTGTAGATTATTTCACTCAACTGTGGATTTTAGTACCCAGATTAGCTTAGTATCTTACTCAGATTTACATGGTGTCCTCTCCTTCAGCTCATTTCAGAAAAAAAGACAACCCCAGCTCCATTCCCAGGGTGCCCACCATTTACACTTCTCCACCCGGATAAATACCAGTTTAGTGTAGGAGCTAAATCTGATGGGAGTGCAACTTGTAATTGCTGGAGATGGATCACAGACTGTGTATTATCTCACTGTCAACCCTGTCTCCCCACCACGCTACGTATCTGGAGTTTCTGCAGCCATAAAAATCTCGTTATTTGGCACTGGATTTGTTGACAAGGCAATCAAGATTATAATTCTTGTGGAGGTAACAAGAAAGTCCAACATTATAAACCAGCAGAGGCAATTTTGTCCTTTGATGTAAGTTTATGTCTGATGTTGG